ATAGATTATATCACAGGGGCACCGGCAGAATGTATCTGTGGTTGAAGCCATGGATGATGTTGTTGTTGTGGGTGTAGCTGTAGACAGAGAATTCATACATTGATCTATTGCAGTATATTTGCAGTATTTTGCACTATGTTATTTTCTACAGGTCAAACCAACAATAGGATCCTATCCTCATATTCCATCGGTTGTCTACTAAACATTTGGTGTATTTGCAAAGAATACTTACTTGTAATAGGATGTAAAGTGGTTGTGGTGGGTTTTGATGTAGTTGTTTCTATAAAAAAGTAAGAGGCAGTTATTAATTGATTAGACTAACATAAATGGGGTGCTACAGACCCTTAAAGCACTCTAGCTTGCTGAATGTGTGAAGCTTATGTGTGAAGAGTGTGACCTTTTATTTTCCTTTTTCAATAAGTGCAGATTTCGGTAGAAATGGGCACTTTTATTAATGAACCTGGTTACACACGCCTGGCTGTCAATCAGACAACTGGTCCAGTTACTTCCTGGTATATTTAATTCAGTGAGCTACATTCAAGAGGCAGCAATTAGCACAAAGAACCTGACTTGCATCGATGCCTCATTGAGCTGCATTGGGAAGTGCCAGTTCCCGTCACCTATCCTCAGGGTTCCAACCTCTTTATCCCATTAGCCTCTGTACCTGGGAGTCCCAGCACTGGAAAGTTTCCCGCGTCTGTAACTCCCAGCCACAGAAAGCCTGTGAAACTGCCATTGTGCCCGTGGAGGGGGGGGGGGGTCTCCACCAATCTCAAGGACTCCCAGAACGTTAACCGCCTCCGATGGTGGGGTCCATGGGTGAAACCAGGCAAGGGAAGTGTCTCCTTTCGGGACACAAATGCTCCCCCCGTCTTTACGAACGGTGGCCACCCAGGGAAGCACTCATTTCTTTACTTCCCTTGCGGTTTCACACTTATGTTGCAAATTGCCAACGTTCTAATTGATTGGTGTGAACACTCCAAGAGGCACTGGGGAGGTCCTCATTCGAGGTGGGAAGTAATCCAAGAAAGCTCCCCCTAGATGGCGTTCACCTAACGAATGGGCCGCCACCCAGGGTCGGCACGTGCCGAGTCTTCCCTTTCGGTTTGTGGTTTTGACACCTCGTTACAAGGTCTGAACGTTCTAAGACAACATTCTAAATGAGGTTTCGTTATGGTTCCTGTTCGGGAGGCGCACAGAACTATTTCGTTTTGGCTCTCCCGAACGGGGAGTGGGTAAAACACAGGACTAGAACACAATACAGGGGAAAGCACGGGGAATAACACATAGCAATTCACAAACAGGCAGCTGTCCTCTTATTTTCATTTTAATTTCAGACATTTATATAAACTGTATATTTTCACAAAAGAGGGACTCTACTCAATTCCTAAGAACCTATTTTTTATTTTTTTTTACTATCCTGACAATTTCGGTATTCCAGACATAGAAATGTTTAGTTACTACAACTGGTGGAGTCCACAAATGAAACATAAATTTTTAATATTATTTATGTCATTATTTTGAAGGACCTCCACAAGCTCGTTTGACAATATGTAGCGCAGTGTCCAGACAGTGACAAACTTTAGTATAGATTCTAAGAAAGAAAGTTTGGCACACAGGGGCACTGCTGGGGCGGTTACTGTAGTGGATTTAGTTGTAGCAGTTTTATATTTATAACATGGCAACTCATTTAGGCTTTGATTTAATATTTTTGGATAAGCTTTTCAAATTATTTCATGTTTTGAGCCATATTTAAAAAAAAATAATATCTTGATATTTTTTCAGATTTTTTTTTTTTATAAATTGTATTTTTCTTGGTATTTGCAATATTTTGAATGTTTACCCCAAAATAATGCATCACTTGAAATGCTTATCCAAGAATATTCAATTGAGGTTGGGTTTCATTTCCACTGGTTTTTATAACATACATACCACTAGTTGAAGTCGTTGTGGTGGGTTTTGCTGTAGTGGTGGTGGTAGCTAAGGGAACAGTAAGATATGAATGAATTGAAAACTAAATCCTGTTGTGGATCTTTGAGAGATTAAAACTATATCCTGATCTGAATGAAAGGGAAGCCTCCTGTGTGTTTAATAGACAGATAATGGCAATGCTTGGTGTTGGTGTGGTAACTGAGGTGGTTACATTTGGTGAAGTACTTGTAGGTTTCAGAATGGTAACTGGAGAGTTAATGTTTGATGTTGTAATGGTTGGAATGACAATTGAGGAAGTCATGTTTGGTGATGTAGATGTTGACATAGTAATTGAGATGGTTATTGTTGGTGTTGTTCTTGTAGGTTCCAGTGAGGTAATGGAATTGGTTTTCATTGGTGTTGTAATTGTTGGCATGTTAATCATGCTGGTTATGGTGGTTTTGTGATGTAGTTAAAGGTGTTGATTAGGTAATTGAGGTGGTTACATTTGGTGATGTAACTGTAGGTTAAATTGCATGTTTGGTGTTGATGTAGTATTTAAGTTCGTAATGCTTTTTGTTGGTGTGGTGAATTATGTGGGTCATTTTGATGATGTCCCTGTAGGTTTCACAGTAGTAACGTGAGTGTTCATATTTGATGTTGGGATAGTATTTGAGGTGGTAATGCTTGGTGTTGGTCTGGTATTTAAGATGATTCAAGTGATTGTATTTGGTTTTCTGATTGTAGTTTTTGGTATGATTGAGGTGCTAATATTTGGTGTTATATTTGAAATTGTTGGTATGAGTGAGGTGGTTATATTTAGTGTTGTATTTGAAGTTGTTGGTGTGGTAATTAAGGTTGTTATATCTGGTGTTGTTTCTTGAAGTTGTTAGTGTGGTAATTACGGTGTTTATATTTGGTGTTGTACATTCTGATATTCCAGTTTAAAAAAGCTATTATATAGGATAGTATTATATAGTATTTTATGGCATAGTACAGTCAGGGCATGTGAAAGACTATTTGGCACCCTAGGCAAGACCAGCTACTTGTGCACCTCCCTAAAAAAGAACAAAATTGCCAACTTTGTGTGTCTCTTTCTTTGTGCATCTCACTCTTACTTGCTCCTCTTTGTGTCTCTTTGTCCTCCCAAGCCCCTCTGTCTCTCTCTGTCCTCCTAGCCCCCGTGTCTCTTTTTCCATCCAAGCCCCTATGTATCACTTTATCTACCCAGCCATTCTGTGTGTCTCCCCAACTCTAGCCCTATGTTTGCCTCTTCCCCCCTCAGCACTCTATGTGCCTCTCCCCCCTAAGCCCTCTATGCACTTCTTCCCCACTTAGCCCTCTGTGAAAATTCACACACTTAGCCCTCTGTGTGCCTCTACCCCTCCAGTCCTTAGTGTGCCTCATCACCCCTTAAACCTCTGTGTGAATCTTTCCCCTAGCCCTCTGTGTGTCTCTCTCCCCTCAACCTTTGTGTGCTTCTGTTGCCCCCTTAGCTCTGTGAGATTCTCTCTGACTCTGCCCTCTTTGCACCTCACCACCCCAGCCATTTATGTGTATCTTCTTTCCCAGATTTCTGTGTGACTGTTCCCCCCTTCAGTACTCTGTGTGAATCTTCCCACCCCAGTCCTCCCTGTCTCATTTATCCCCCAGACCCTGCATGTGTCTCATTAACCCACCAGACTGCCCATGCGTCTCATTACCTTCCCCAAAGTCTCCATGTGTCTCATTTTGTTACCCCCTGCATGTGTCTCATGCACAGCCCAACAATGTCCCCCAGCTTTCCATGTGTCTCATTAACCCCTCAGCACTTCCTGTGTTTTTCTACGCACGACAGGCCCTCTATGTGTTTCATTACCCCCCCCCCCTGCAGCCCATTCATATGTCTCTTTAAACCCACAGCTTCTCCAGGTGTCTCATTAACCCCCTTCAGACCCTCTGTGTGTCTCATTAATCTGCAAAGGATCTCCATGTGTTTCATTATACTCCCAGCCCCTCTACGTGTCTTATTATTCACCTCCCAGCTCCTACATGTGTCTGATTACCCACCTCCCTGTCCCTCCATGGGTCTGATTACCCACCTCCCTGTCCCTCCATGTGTCTGATTACCCACCACAGTCACTTTATGATATAGTATAACAATCAATCTCACTTGGACATGGGCGGCAGAAGTCTGCTCGGAAACAGATTCCCAGATAGATTATATCACAGGGGCACCGGCAGAATGTATCTGTGGTTGAAGCCATGGATGATGTTGTTGTTGTGGGTGTAGCTGTAGACAGAGAATTCATACATTGATCTATTGCAGTATATTTGCAGTATTGTGCACTATGTTATTTTCTACTGGTCAAGCCAACAATAGGATCCTATCTTCATATTCCATCGGTTGTCTACTAGACATTTGGTGTATTTGTATAGAATACTTACTTGTAGTAGGATGTAACGTGGTTGTGGTGGGTTTTGATGTAGTTGTTTCTATAAAAAAGTAAGAGGCAGTTATTAATTGATTAGACTAACATAAATGGGGTGCTACAGACCCTTAAAGCACTCTAGCTTGCTGAATGTGTGAAGCTTATGTGTGAAGAGTGTGTCCTTTTATTTTCCTTTTTCAATAAGTGCAGATTTCAGTAGAAATGGGCATTTTTATTAATGAACCTGGTTACACACGCCTGGCTGTCAATCAGACAACTGGTCCAGTTACTTCCTGGTATATTTAATTCAGTGAGCTACATTCAAGAGCAGCAATTGCCCAAAGCACTTGCCATGCATCGACACCTCATTGAGCTGCATTGGGAAGCTTGTGATTGGACAGTCACAGAAAGTCTGGGACGGGTAAGAAGAGGAGGGCTTGCAAGGACAGCAGCTTTTGCAATATGTTTTTAGATATACCCAATTAAAAAATGCATAATTAAATTAATGCATGTTTTCATTTGAGGTATATCTACTAACAATGTCTGAGAGGGTCTGTAAATACACACTATGCATAAAGTGGAAAGTAAATGATAAGGTACCGTACGCAGAGTTCATTACATGAATATTTTAGTGAACAGCAATGCCATAAGTGTATGGAATATGTAAATGTTGTTATTTTAAATGAGTTTTGTAGTCTCATTTTTATGGGTGTGTCGAGGATTTACACCAGATCCCATATCACTCTTGTTTTTCACTATAGCATACTTACTCGTAGTGGTTGGTGATGTCATGGTGGTGGATTGGAGGGTGGTGCCGCCTATGGTAAGAGCACAAGAAAGTTAAACATCTATCATTCCCTCTGTATTTATTAAGCGACTAAGAACAATTAAGTTACAGGTGATACAAATTGAAATGGAACTCACTTGTACATTCGGGACAGTTGCCGGTCACAATGCATACTCCAAGGATTTCCAGTACACATTCACATGGACAGGGAGAAGATTTTGTGGTCGTTGGAGCTGGAACAACAAAGACAACAAAACTCTTTAAAATAACATCATTTACATTTTCCATACACTTAATTATATAGTACAGAAACCCTCCGTTATGTATCACAGACTTAAATAGCATGATATCTCATTCAAATATATTTGTATAATGTTATCATATCACCTCTCAGGCAACGTTTTTCTAAACTAAATAGGTTTAAATTTGTTAACCTTTCTTCATAGCTGATATGTTCCATTCCTTTTATTAATTTTGTAACCCGCCTCTGCACTTTTTCTAGTGCCATAATATCCTTCTTTAGAACAGGTGCCCAAAATTGCACAGCATATTCAATATGTGGTCTTACCAGTGATTTATAAAGAGGCAAAATGATATTCTCGTCCCGAGAATGAATGCCCTTTTTCATGCATGACAATACCTTACTGGCCTTGGCCACTGCTGATTGACATTGCACATTGTTGCATAGTTTGTTGTCTATAACAATTCCCAAGTCCTTTTCGTGTGTTGTTATCCCTAATTCGCTTCCATTAAGGGTATACGTTGCTTGTGTATTCTTTACACCGAAGTGCATAACTTTGCATTTTTCAACATTAAATTTCATCTGCCATTTGAGTGCCCAGTCCCACAGTCTATCTAAATCCCTCTGCAGCAAAGTAATATCTTGCTCACATTGTATTGTTTTACAAAGTTTTGTGTCATCTGCAAACACTGAAACATGACTTTCATTGCTGTCTTCAAGATCATTATTTCTGTTATGGAAAATAAATCTTCAAATTGTTCAAATGAAACAACATATAAACATGATATTCAATCCAACAGCTGGATTTGATGCCATAGTAAAAAAAAAAAATTCTTTAAGAATAATTTCAAGATAATTGTAATTTCTGTCCTTTAGACCTTATGGAGTATCCTGTCAGATAATATCAAATATGCCACAAGCCTGATGACACCTTTATCCACCTGCCTTTAAACAGAAAGCAATTGCACTCAAAGTGAATTTGCAACAGTATTGTATATGTATATAGTGTGTGATAATGTTATTATTATTGTACTGTATGAGTCTTCTTTGTCGATTTTTATTGAGCAAACATATTGGAAGAATACATTTTTTGGGTTTGTCGAGAATTTACACCAGATCCCATATCACTCTTGTTTTTCACTATAGCATACTTACTCGTAGTGGTTGGTGATGTCATGGTGGTGGAGGGTGGTGGTGCCAATGGTAAGAGCACAAGAAAATTAAACATCTATCATTCCCTCTGTATTTAATAAGCGACTAAGAACAATTAAGTTACAGGTGATACAAATTGAAATGGAACTCACTTGTACATTCGGGACAGTTGCCGGTCACAATGCATACTCCAAAGATTTCCAGTACACATTCACATGGACAGGGAGTAGATTTTGTGGTCGTTGGAGCTGGAACAACAAAGACAACAAAACTAATTTAAAATAACATTTACATTTTCCATACACTTAATTATATAGTACAGAAACCCTCCGTTATGTATCACAGACTTAAATAGCATGATATCTCATTCAGTCACATGTACATCATTCCACTGCTTTGCATAAGATACATACTGGTAGTTGAAGTGGTTGTGGTGGGTTTCAAAGTAGTGGTGGTGGTGGTAGCTATGGGAAGAGTAATAAATAATTATTACATTGGAACAATCCTGTTGTGTATCAGAGAAATTAAAACTCTTTTCTATTCTGAACGAGAGTGAAACACTTTATGCGTTTAGTAGAATTGCAGATAGATAAATAAATAGATAGTGTGGCGAAAGTGACCTTGCCGCTGGCTTTTGGAGGAGCCTGTGTGCCAGCCTCCTAATCTGTAACTATGGCCCCTGCAATAGACCTTGCTAAAATACTTCAAACAGGCTCTGTTTGTGCAATTGGGACAATATGGTTCATTTACTGAACAACTGCACGAACCAGAGACCACCCTGGATCTTGTTAACACCTATTAACAACTTGGAACATTACTCACCGTAATGTTCTAATTGTTCGTCTGGGTGGCCGCAATTCCTATGGACAACCACAAGGTGGTGGCGATCATGTTCGCATGAACGCAGGCAGCGGTGTTTGGGCATGAATCTCATGGACCTAAAATCGGATATAGAAACTCCCAAACATCGCTGGACCTCCATCATAGCCTGCATTTGTTTCTATTCAACTTAGAAGGGCACTGTTTGGTGAGATCATTTGTCTGAATGAGGAGAACAAGCTCCTGGGTAAGACTATTTACTCTGTTCGGTAGTTTGTTCATTTTCAAACTACCGAACCAGACTGAAGGCAACCCCTGATTCTCTGAAACTGTTTTGGGCATGGGACCATGCCTGCAGTCGGTCAAATAAATGACATCCAAGAAATTTCTGAACCCCTGAACTGATCTGGGTGATTTTTGGATATGTTGGTCAACCAGATCAGGGCTATCAGGGATGTGACATTTGTATGCATATTGTGTGTTTTGATGTACTTTTTGGACTTTGTAGAAATGCATGTTTTTTTCTGCCTGGGGAGAATTGGGTTACTCCACTATCTGACTCAATTATCTCCCAGGCAGAGAGGAGGGATTGAATGTTTGTTATGGGAGTGTCGTGCATTTAATCACTGTTCTTATTGGTCTGTGTCTTTGTGTTGGAGTCCCCAACAAGGTCTGTGTAGGCGTACCCCTTGCATGGGGATTGTCATAAAAGGCCAGTGTGGGGCCATTAAAATTCATTCCTGCTTAACCCTCAAAACATAGCCTCGTCTTGTAGCTCTTATAAAAGCTTCACAGCTATACTCTCTTGGAGGAGTCCCTGGATCCAGGACTTTGGTCCAGGGTGGGAAGGGATGGCGAGACCCCTACCAAGCTGCGGTAGTTTGTGGTGTCTACTGTGCTTATGGTGTCCGATGCTGTGCTTATGGTCTTCAGCTTCAGCTATTAAGCATCGATTGGTGGAGGTACCCAGTCGGGTTGCCAGGTGGTCCATTACAGATAGATAGAGAGATAGATAGATAGATAGATAGATAGCTAGAGATCGAGAGAGAGAGAGAGAGAGATTTTCCTTTTAAAAGGCTTTCCACAGGATGATACAAAATGTTTGGAGAATGATTGTTTTAATCATATGATCCATTGAGATGCTGAACATGTTATGAAGATTTAGAGTTATACACATAACAGTCTAATTAGTTCAGCAAAAAAACAATTAAAATTACCTCCAACGATCCCTTGCCCTATCCAATATCCATAGGCACTTCCCTTTCTATTTCTCTTCTTCCTTCCCTTCTTCCTACCTCCATTTCTTAATTTCATTTAAAAATGGAAGATTTTTGAGTTATGGCAGTTATTATTTTTCGAGACTCGGGCCCCTCATGTATCCTCTTTTCTGACATACCCTCTTTTTCCTTCTTAATTATGTGAGACTTTTCTCCTCTTCGAATTGTATTTGTAAAAAATACAACAAAATGACCCCAATCGTAATGATAACCAAACGGTGAGACTAAAAGTCCATATTAGACATTATTTCTGTTATGGAAAATAAATCTTCAAATTGTTCAAATGTAACAACATATAAACATGATATTCAATCCAACAGCTGGATTTGATGCCATAGTAAAAAAAAAAAAATTCTTTAAGAATAATTTCAAGATAATTGTAATTTCTGTCCTTTAGACCTTATGGAGTATCCTGTCAGATAATATCAAATATGCCACAAGCCTGATGACACCTTTATCCACCTACCTTTAAACAGAAAGCAATTGCACTCAAAGTGAATTTGCAACAGTATTGTATATGTATATAGTGTGTTATAATGTTATTATTATTGTACTGTATGAGTCTTCTTTGTAGATTTTTATTGAGCAAACATATTGGAAGAATACATTTTTTGGGTGTGTCGAGGATTTACACCAGATCCCATATCACTCTTGTTTTTCACTATAGCATACTTACTCGTAGTGGTTGGTGATGTCATGGTGGTGGATTGGAGGGTGGTGCCGCCTATGGTAAGAGCACAAGAAAGTTAAACATCTATCATTCCCTCTGTATTTAATAACCGACTAAGAACAATTAAGTTACCATAGATACAAATTGAAATGGAACTCACTTGTACATTCGGGACAGTTGCCGGTCACAATGCAAACTCCAAGGATTTCCAGTACACATTCACATGGACAGGGAGAAGATTTTGAGGTCGTTGGAGCTGGAACAACAAAGACAACAAAACTCTTTAAAATAACATCATTTACATATTCCATACACTTAATTATATAGTACAGAAACCCTCCGTTATGTATCACAGACTTAAATAGCATGGTATCTCATTCAGTCACATGTACATCATTCCACTGCTTTGCATAAGATACATACTGGTAGTTGAAGTGGTTGTGGTGGGTTTCAAAGTAGCGGTGGTGGTGGTAGCTGTGGGAAGAGTAATAAATAATTATTGCATTGGAACAATCCTTTTGTGTATCAGAGAAATTAAAACTTTTTTCTGTTCTGAACGAGAGTGAAACACTTTATGCGTTTAGTAGAATTGCAGATAGATAGATAAATAGATAGTGTGGCAAAAGTGACCTTGCCGCTGGCTTTTGGAGGAGCCTTTGTGCCAGCCTCCTAATCTGTAACTATAGCCCCTGCAATAGACCTTGCTAAAATACTTCAAACAGGCACTGTTTGTGCAATTGGGACAATATGGTTCGTTTACTGAACAACTGCATGAACCAGAGACCACCCTGGATCTTGTTAACACCTATTAACAACTTGGAACGTTTCTCACCGTAATGTTCTAATTGTTCTTCTGGGTGGCCACAATTCCTATGGACAACCACAAGGTGGTGGCGATCATGTTCGCATGAACGCAGGCAGCGGTGTTTGGGCATGAATCTCATGGACCTAAAATCGGATATAGAAACTCCCAAACATCGCTGGACCTCCATCATAGCCTGCATTTGTTTCTATTCAACTTAGAAGGGCACTGTTTGGTGAGATCATTTGTCTGAATGAGGAGAACAAGCTCCTGGGTAAGACTATTGACTCTGTTCGGCAGTTTGTTCATTTTCAAACTACCGAACCAGACCGAAGGCAAGCCCTGATTCTCTGAAACTGTTTTGGGCATGGGACCATGCCTGCAGTCGGTCAAATAAATGACATCCAAGAAATTTCTGAACCCCTGAACTGATCTGGGTGATTTTTGAAAAGTGTTGGTCAACCAGATCAGGGCTATCAGGGATGTGACATTTGTATGCATATTGTGTGTTTTGAGGTACTTTTTGGACTTTGTAGAAATGCATGTTTTTTTCTGCCTGGGGAGAATTGGGTTACTCCACTATCTGACTCAATTATCTCCCAGGCAGAGAGGAGGGATTGAATGTTTGTTATGGGAGTGTCGTGCATTTAATCACTGTTCTTATTGGTCTGTGTCTTTGTGTTGGAGTCCCCAACAAGGTCTGTGTGGGCGTACCCCTTGCATGGGGATTGTCATAAAAGGCCAGTGTGGGGCCATTAAAATTCATTCCTGCTTAACCCTCAAAACATAGCCTCGTCTCGTAGCTCTTATAAAAGCTTCACAGCTATACTCTCTTGGAGGAGTCCCTGGATCCAGGACTTTGGTCCAGGGTGGGAAGGGATGGCGAGACCCCTACCAAGCTGCGGTAGTTTGTGGTGTCTACTGTGCTTATGGTGTCCGATGCTGTGCTTATGGTCTTCAGCTTCAGCTATTAAGCATCGATTGGTGGAGGTACCCAGTCGGGTTGCCAGGTGGTCCATTACAGATAGATAGAGAGATAGATAGATAGATAGATAGATAGAGATCGAGAGAGAGAGAGAGATTTTCCTTTTAAAAGGCTTTCCACAGGATGATACAAAACGTTTGGAGAATGATTGTTTTAATCATATGATCCATTGAGATGCTGAACATGTTATGAAGATTTAGAGTTATACACATAACAGTCTATTTAGTTCAGCAAAAAAACAATTAAAATTACCTCCAACGATCCCTTGCCCTATCCAATATCCATAGGCACTTCCCTTTCTATTTCTCTTCTTCCTTCCCTTCTTCCTACCTCCATTTCTTAATTTCATTTAAAAATGGAAGATTTTTGAGTTATGGCAGTTATTATTTTTCGAGACTCGGGCCCCTCATGTATCCTCTTTTCTGACATACCCTCTTTTTCCTTCTTAATTATGTGAGACTTTTCTCCTCTCTCTTCGAATTGTATTTGTAAAAAATACAACAAAATGACCCCAATCGTAATGATAACCAAACTGTGAGACTAAAAGTCCATATTAGACATTATTTCTGTTATGGAAAATAAATCTTCAAATTGTTCAAATGTAACAACATATAAACATGATATTCAATCCAACAGCTGGATTTGATGCCATAGTAAAAAAAAAAAAAAATTTCTTTAAGAATAATTTCAAGATA